CCCGTTCCCTGCCCGTTCCCTGCCCGTTCCCTGCCCGTTCCCTGCCCTCTCCCTCGGCTTTTATCCAAGCTCTTCTTGAATTTGTCCCTGCGTCCAAGCAGTTAGATCGCACGGAAAGGATTAAGAACTGCCAAGACCCGGAATTCTCCAAGAAGCTGCTCGTCGACTATTACTTTGAGAAGGTGCAGAAGCTGAAGTTCGCTGTGTACGACATCGACAACAAGTCTGCTGAGCTCAGCGACGACGACTTCCTTGGGGCTGTGGAGTGCACGCTGGGGCAGGTGTGAGGGGTGAGGCAGGGCTGCCTTCTTATAGCCTGCAGTGTTTTAAGCTCCTCTTGCAAAACAGATGGGTGCTTGTCCCTGTTGAATATAACTGGAAGAATCATGGTGGTGAGCAGGCAGCAAAGGTTAAGAACGCGTGTGGTTTGTGAGTCCTGGAATTGTGGTGGTGGGAAGGAAACTCAAAATCATTCAGTCTGTAGCGTCCAGCCTTTGGGCTTTCCTGGGCTGCACAGAGTGGAGAGGAACCAGGCCATAATATTGTTAATTGTCCTCCCTTGTCCTGTCCCTGAGCACCACTGAGCAGAGCCTGGCTCCATTGGTTGCCTCCCACCTTATGGATATTGCTAAGCATTGACCAGATCCCCACTCCGCCTTCTCTTCCCAGAGCTCTCAGCCTTTGAAGTCATTGCTTCACGTAGGAGCACTTGTAGAACTAGCCGGAGCCTGGGAGTGAGGAAGGCCCTGGAGAGCTCTGGTAGCCTTTTGGTTTTCTTGGGGCAAAAAAATCCTCAGGCCATAAATTCAGGGAGGATTGCCTGAAAATCTGCATTCATTTCCTGAACAGGAAGTCATATTGTTAGGTAGAAGGAGAAGGATGGGGTTTGAGATTGTGAAGGATTTGGTTAAATAAATAGACATTCTGATTTTCAATGGTTGTTTGGCTGCTTGTAAGGAAAATGTCTCGGGGATCATGAGGGAAGCAGCAGCAGGAGGCTAGTGTTAAGTTTTGAGATAGATAGTGGGAATTATTTTGTGGAGAAGGAAAACTTTAAGAGTGCTTAACCATTTCAGGAGCACAAACTCGTAGCTGTCACTGTAGGAGATGGGTTTTCTGTAGCAGATTTTTAAAGATAATTCCTCCTGAAGAATAGTTCTTTGATTCTTAATAATTCTTTAATAATAATGATCTTTCTCTACCTTGCTATTATATTGTCTGTCTTTTAACCTCAGATTGTGTCCAGCTCAGTGTTTACCCGACCTCTGGAGCTGAAGGATGGGAAGCCAGCAGGAAAAGGCACCATTACGGTAAAGGAGAGCGTGTAGTAAAAAGAATTTCTCATTCTTTGGTACAAGATCTGCAACAGAGTAACATTTCTGGTTTTGTTCCTTTCTGTTTTCGAATTCAGTTTGTGTAGAGGAAGAGTGTGTATTTGTAACCATACAGAGAGGCTTTTTTCATGCAGAAAGCATACGCAGAATTCTGTATTTTCTTTTTTTTAATTTGTGGCACAGATTACAGCAGAGGAGATTAAAGATACCAGGGTTGTCAGTTTGGAAATTCAAGCCCGAAACTTGGACAAAAAGGTATTGGTTCATTTATTCTTTTTTAGTGATATTGCATGCTCGTGTGGGTCTTGACTGTGGTGAGAGTGAGTGCCTTTGGCCAGCATTCTCACTGTACTGCAGACGTTCAGCTGAGCTCTGTAATCCACGTGTAAAAAGGCTCATTGTTGTGTTGCCAGTAGTGGAGACACAATTACATGGCAGAAAGCACTGTAGCAGATAAGAGATTCAACCACCAAGTTTAGGTTCTGGATAATTATTTTGGTTTTGGAGTATTCTGTACTTTAATACATTAAATAATTGCATCGATTGAATATTGTAACTGTGCCATGAACTGGACTTTATGTAACGTTATAAAAGAAGAAAAGGTGGAAATTTAGATATGCTGCCTTGGTGTTATTTTAAGCCACAGGTGATTTACAGTAACAAAATGCTCTAAGGAAGCACAGTCTTGTAATCAGAGCTGGTATGCTGTGATGATTTGTGAAGTGCTGCAGTTTAAAAGAGGTAAGGAAATGTAGAGCTGATTTGAAGCGAGTTGTGCTGATGACCCAACTCTTCTCTCATCCGAGGATAATACTGAGGTCTGATGAAGGTCTGTTGGGATTCTGTTTGCAGGATTTCTTAGGTAAATCGGATCCATTTCTGGAGCTGTACAAGCAGAGTGATGCTGGAACGTGGCAGCTGGTGTACAGATCAGAGGTAGCATTTCTACACTGATGTGCTTCTTGTTAAGGTTGTCTGTCAGCTTAGAGTGCCTCGCTTCTGGTAATGCTGTGCTCCATGTGTGCAGTGAAACTTGTCCCCCCAGAAAGGGATTCTGCTGACTGGCAGAAAATGGTTAACTTCCTGCCTAATCAGAGTTAAGCTGAAGGGTCCAACCGTGTACTGAGGGCAGAGTGGCAGGACTCTTCTGCCTTTTAGTGGCAACAAGCTGTGAGATTGGCGTGGCTCTGCCGTTGTACCCAGCTCTGAACTACAGGCTGCTAACAGAGCTTCTCCTTGCTCATGTGAGGGTAGAAATGACTGAGGCTGTTCCATGTTCTCCCACAGATGTACAGAACCCTCATGTTATGTTTCTTAGTAACTTGCACATCACATCTCTCACGTGATGTTATGCTCTAATTTTTTTAAGGTCGTCAAGAACAACTTAAGTCCATGCTGGAGGAGGTTCAGCGTTCCCTTGCAGGCGTTCTGTGGTGGTGATCTTAATAAACCTATCAAGGTACAGCCTTCAGCAATTCAGATTTGTTTGTTGTTGTAAGTAACCCAATCTCTGACTCGTTAACTCTGAGTAATCAAGTCATCCAGTCATATTCAAAATTTTAAATTGCTTTTCTGGAATAATATGGCAGATAAGTGATTATACATTTATTAAGTGTGAAGTCTGTGCTGAAACGTTATGAGTTGTCAAATGGAGAAGTCAATGCAGAAGTGAGCAGTTCCTAATGATTTGTCACAAGAAGGATTACGAATGGTCAATGGCTATTCTGGTTAGAGTTTCAGGTTGTGGGATTTTCTGTTTAATTGTAGCTTTCTAATGCTATGTTAGCTGTGAGGCTTATACATGGGATAGACTGGAATGCATTAGGATACTGACAGAGGGCAGGTGTCTGCTTCCTCCATGCGTGAGAACGGCGAGTTGTTCCATCTTGTTTGCTTTCTGTCCCAGCAAGAATTTGATCTCGAGTTAGAACTGGAATTTCTCGTGGTCTCACAAACGAGGATTAATACACTGGTCCTGAATTATGGGGGTGGTAGCAGAACAATTCCACTTTGAATAAGTTTCTACAAAAATAATCTGATAGCAAGTTCAATTTGTGTTCTAAGCAGTGCACTGATTACATAGAAGCACTTAAAGCTTTAAATAGTTCAATGTTGAATATTATCTCCCTCTGCTTATTCAGCTCCTAAACACTTTCCGTTTGCAGAATTTTCCACCCTCATCCTGCTTGAGAAGAAATCTTGTGCTGGAAGCTTGATCTGAAAGGTTTAGCAGAAAGCAATGCATGCTGATCTTTTTATTTGTGCAGCATGGCAGATCCAAAAAACTGCTGAGTTGTTACCCTGGTTCAAGTGTGCTGGGCTTGTCAAACGTGTTCTGAGTGGTGGTCATGAGCTTTTGTGAGCAGTCTTAGATCAGAAGGAAGTTCTGTTGGTCTGCAGGTGCTAAGAGAGACGTGGCGAGGGGGTGGTCAAGAGTTGTGTGTTACCTTGTCAAATGTGACGTGAGATGGAATGGCTGAGGCATTTTGTCACGAGGCTGTATTTCCTACACTCTGAAACGCTTCTGCTTTTGCTTTAGAACCTTCTGTGCTTTGGGATTTGTTTTGCAATGATCTATTTAAAAACAGAACATAGGTCTTCGCTGTTGGTTCTTTTCACCCCCAAATCCTGAATGCGTGTGCAAGTAGTCCACTAATTTCCACAGTTTACCTGTGGGGAAGTTGGTCAGTAAGAGGCCTCCATAGTAATGGGCAGGAGCATTAGCACTAAGGAGTGGAAGGTTGCACCAGAGATCTGTTTTCCATCCAGAACGTGCTGCTTGGAACCTCTTGTTCAAGGCTTTCTAAGATTTGCATAGGAACGATCAGCTGAGGAATGATGGTGGTGCTGAGCAGAGAAGTCTTCATACTGCAGCACAAGGGAAATGTTCTTGTGGGCAGTGTCAGTTTGGGATGTCTTGTAAGTGTCAGCTGTGTCAGCCATGCAGGAGGGTTCTGCAGTGGGAAACGTGCACTAAATGTGTGTGTAAGCACATCTTTTGATCACATTAACAGTGCTAACTAACAAGTAATTGTGAAGTAGAGGGGTGTCACTGTTGTTCCATATTTAAAAACAGCTCAGGTTTGAGATGTAATATAATTCTGTGGCCGTTTCTTTAAGAAAGAAGCATACAAAAGTAGTTTCTCTCTCCTGTAATAGTTTAAATAGAAGTGGTAAATGTGAGATTTAAGAAAGAACAAAAAGCAGCACAACAGAAACAAGCCCCTTCCTGACCATGCATTTGATGGCATGTGCATAAAAGCAAATCCACTCGGTGTGAATTTTGGAAGTTTCTCTTGTAGATAAAAGGAGCCTTTTACCCACTGGAAGTGTTCCTATGAATATCTGATCGTTCAGTTGAGTAATTAATCAGTAAATGAACGCAATGCAGGATCGTGCAGTTAGCTGACCCCTGAGGTCAGACCACAATGCAGAAGGCAGTTACTGACAGCTTCAGGTGTTTGTTCCCCACTTCACAACTTGGTTCTGTTTGCAGCAGCAGCACTTTTTGGGCGGTGCACTCTGAATCTTTGTCCATTTTAGAAAACCCTTTCAAAAAGAGGTTTGTTGTAAGCTAACTCGTACTGGGAACCACTAACAGAACTGGTCATTACGTAGTTGGATTTTTGTGTGTGTGGTCAGGAGGGGACGGGGACAAGCAGAAGGGAAAGGGAAGGTGCAGACTGCTGTGTTCTTTGCAGCATGTTAGTGCCAAGGACACCCTCAGTCGCTGCATGGTGACCTGCAGTGGCCTCCTTGATGTGGTCACACATCTTCTGACTGACGCTTTAAACATGAGAATTGTTGAGAGAGGCAGAGGAGGAGCCTTGGGGACGCTTCATGGCACAGTGTGCAGAAGGGAGGGACAGAGCAGTGGTGGGTTGGGATGATGAAGAAGGGGAAGAATGGCACAGTCTCTAAAGCAATTTTGTTTTCCCCGTGAAGGACCTGAAGGATGGCACGGTGCCTCCAGTTTGGGTGGCTAGCTTTGTCTGCAGTTTGTGTGCACACTTCCCACTGATAGCAGTGGAAAATCCCAAGTGGATCAAAGGCAGCAGGTAGTTGTCCAAGAAGCCTGTCCTCAGATTTGCTGATTGAATTTGACTTCCTTATCTAGGCACTGCCTGTAGGTTCACCTTATCCATAATGCTGAGGAGAAAGCTGTCACCCTAGTTTGTACTGGGGTAACACCAGTTTCTTGGTTAATAAAAGCAAATCTGAATGGGCTTTTGAATTGGAGGAGTGTGTGAGCTTGAGCAGAGGAAAAACTGCTGTTCACAAGCTTTCTTGACTGACTGCTTCTGGAATTACTTTTGTTCTGCTGTCGTATGCATTGTGCATGTTACAAACGCTTCTTACAGTTGTTGATTTCATGGGAGCTGCTGCCAGTGCACATGGTGCTGTGTTAGCTTGAGGCCATGGTTATTGTCATATTTTTTGTTTTTAAATGCATTGCTATTTTGCATTCTCTAATTCTGAAGATCCAAGTTTACACGCTGTTTTAAACGTGGCTATTCATTGTTTGTCGTTCGATTGCTATCAGATGCAGAAAAAGGCAGATTGCAGTTTTTTTGCAGACTGACTGTTGCCAGGCAGAAGAAAGAAGTTTATTCAGAAATTAGATAAGACCTTCAGGTGCTTTTTCCCATTACTCCACTTGCATATTGTGTCCTGAATGATCTCAACTTTGTGTTTTTGGGCTGTGAAATCTGCGGCTTTATTTTGTTGATTTTTGTTTGTTTTGTTTTTGTTTCCAACTGAACTGAGGGAAGCTGTCACTTGGCACGCTCAGGTAGGTGAGTGATGGAATGTCTTCCTCGTTCTGAGATGCACGCAGCCTGTCTCCCTCTGTCAGGTTTCAGGCAGTGACATGGATGACACCACTGGATCAGAGTTGACAAGGAGACTCGCCAGCATCACCGCAGAGCTGTTGGAGGCAGGAGGGTGCGTGGTGAGCAGCCGTCATTCACCCTAACACAGTATGCTTACCCATTTTTGCTGTCTCTTTCCTTTCAGGTGCAGTGCTCTGATCATGACAGCGATGGGTCGCATGACCTGATAGGTGTTTTTGAAACTAACCTGGCTCAGCTGCAGAGGGCAGTGGACGGCTGTCCGGTGAGCTTCCTCTGTTCCTCAGTTTTGTCTGTAATTCGGTCTGTCACAAACCCCTTCTAATAAAGATGTCTGAGGGATATTCAGTTGTTGCTTCCAAAAGTCACTTTTTTCTGTATCTGACTGTTCTGTATTACTAAGCTGTTATCTGGGAAAAATGAAACCTAGCATGGGGAGGTTGCTGCTGTTTTCCTTGAGTGCTGTTACCCTTCCTGCTCCTACAGACGTCCTTCAGCCTGTTGTCTGCTGGCCGTGTGCTGTTTCTTACCAGCCATTCTGCATGCTTCTGCCTCTCCTGAATTAAGTGAAAGCAAAAGAGCTTCTTTAAAAGAGCTTTAGCAGAACAGTCCAGAGATAGGACTTGTCTCATGTAACACGTGTGCCTGAGCTGGTTGCCCTCACCAGCACTCTGGTTGCCTTTCTGGGTAGCTTTCCAGATAGTGGAATGAAATGGTGCTTCCAGCAGTCGGTCTTCTTGCTTTATCTTGGGCACCCATGTTAGGGTAATTTGAGTCACTTGCTAGTGGTGCCAGTTTCTCTCTGCCTACAGCAAAAGCTTGTACGCTCATTTTCATGGAGATGCCTCATCTGGATTCAGACCAATGAATCCATGTGCAGCACATAGCCTGGGAGTGCTAGGAGTCACCAGCCAATTTGATTTCTGTATTTGGAATCCTAAAGCTTGTGGAAGATTGTTGCCTTCTTCCCTAACCCGTGTGAAATCAGAACTACTGTTAAGTGAAACGAGACAGTGATACCAGAATACTGATCCTCTGCCACTGAGAACCTGACACCTAGGGCTCTTTGACCTCCTTCCCTCCCCCTTCTCACTTTGCCTCCTTAGCTTCTGAGTTCGTCTCCTGCCCTTAACATAAAAAGAGTGCAGTTATGTTAAGAGGAATGTTTGTATTTGTGACAAACTTCTCTGCGCTCTGTTAGGTGTTCGATGGTTCTGCAGAGAGCAGCAGTCAGGCTGTCACAGAGAGGGACTTCTTTGAAACGTTCTCTTATGCTTTGCCCAGTGATGACAGCAAAAGCATCAATTTAACTTGTCAGATAGCAGCCACAGGAGTCACAAACGCTTTTGAAATGAAGTTTCATAATACTCTGAAATTGGGATGTCTCAGACTGTTCTGTTTCAGTAGTTTGCGCTGCTGCAGATGCAGATGTTTTACAATTTGCTTATTGAGTGCTTTCTTTTTGTAGGTGGAATTTGAATGCATTCATCCTGAGAAGAAGCAAAAGAAGAAGAGCTACAAAAACTCAGGCATCGTTAGCATAAAATCCTGCAAGGTAGGAAGATGGCAGTTGTTTGTCTTGTTCTATTTTCTGATGATCAAGAAATCCTTCCTTACAGGAAGGAGGTGTAACACTGTCTGTCTGTTCTCTAGATTGAAACAGACTATTCGTTCCTGGACTATGTTATGGGAGGCTGCCAGATTAATTTTACAGTGAGTTGTTTTCCCACTTCATGTCTTGGTAGATGATAGAGCAAGGCAATGAAGTTGTGTTCAGTACAATTAATTTGCAGTGTGTGTTTTAAGGAGTAATGAAAACTGCCAAAAAGAATTGATTTTATATTTTGCTTTTTGATACCAAGTAGCAAATTTAATGGATCTTGGATTTCTCAAGCTTCTTTTGAGAAATCAGTTCTCACCCTTGGTGGAAAGGACTGCTGCTCCTCAGATGTGCATGTGCCATGGTGGGAGAAAATGTGCAGGCTTATTTGCCTGCCTCTGTTTGCAGTCATCTTTGTGTCTGGCAGGGAGGGAGCAGTGTGGGGCTGTTCTTATCCCTCTGTTTCTGATTGCTTTTGGTACTTCTCGTTTGCTTCTGATGCTGTTTCATTGACCTGCTGTTATCATCCTCCAAACTGATTAGGTGGGCATAGACTTCACTGGCTCCAATGGTGATCCCAGCTCACCAGATTCTCTTCACTACATCAGCCCAGATGGGATAAATGAGTATTTGATTGCCATCTGGAGTGTGGGAAGTGTAGTCCAGGATTATGACACGTATGTAAGAGGTTCTTAACTCTCCCAGCCCCCTCATTAAAAACGTTTCACAGTGGGTGATTGGTCAGGGCTGGTAGCTCATTCAGGAGCTGTAGTATTTGGAGGTGCTGCTGCCTTTCCTTGGGAGATCCCTTCAGGAACTGCTGCTGCTACTTGCTGCTTCTGGCATTGCCAAAAAAGGCAACGACAGTCCTTTTCAATAAAGCATGTTTGCTTTATTTGTCCATCCAGATCTGCACTTTATGGCCCTGAGTTACTCTGTAATTCTGCTTTAGCTGGTTGTAGTCCCTGCTTGCTAACAGTGCATCTCAAACATGAATTCCCTGTTAGACTTGGTGGAACGTGTTTGCCTGCTCTGTCCTTCAGCCAAGTTGTGACTGGATTGGCTTTTCTCTTGCTACTCTGAAATCTCCTGAGACTTGTGCAGAATACTGCATTCAAAGACATTGTGAGTTGTCAGTTCCATGCCTGAAATCCTTGGGTAACTGTTCACTGACCTTGGGAAAACTAGGAGGTGTGCCTGTCCTTAATGGCAGGAATGGAACCTTGGTCTACAACTGTTTCTGGGAATAAAACAGAATTAGTAAAATATTACAGGATTTCTCTTTCTCATTTCTTCTTGTTGCCCTTTCTCCCAAGGGACAAGCTGTTTCCTGCATTTGGTTTCGGAGCTCAGGTTCCTCCTAGCTGGCAGGTAAGGCCTTCACAGCCCTGTGCAGTAGCTCTTTTAATGTCTGCATTCTCTAACTGGTTGTAACATCACCGTTTCTAGGTGTCTCATGAGTTTGCTTTGAACTTCAATCCCAACAACCCTTACTGTCAAGGTGAGGATGCCTCTTTATTAATATTTCACTGAGAGGGACTGGTGTTTGAAGTGTTCATTCCTTTCATAACTGGTAAAAAAAACAACAAAAACAAAAACAACATACAACAGATGCAGTGTGAAGGCATCCAGCAACCTACGTGTACTCACCTGAATGTGAAAATCTAACCTAGCAGTCTAGGTTAAGTTTGTTAGTTAAGTTGCAGGTGGAGAGAGCTGGGACGCGTGGGGTTCTGAACACCAGGAAGCACCTCTGTACTGTGTGGGTGATAGAGCACAGAAGCACGTTGCCCAGAGAGGTTTCCAAGACCTTGGAGACCTTCAGAAGCCTTGGGCATGGGGTACTGGCTGTAGGTGGCCCTGTTGGAGAAGGGGGTTTGGGTTGAAACTCAGCCAACCTGCAGTTCTGTCAGTCTGCTGAAATTTTTGTTGCTGCTTCTGGGTTATTCCTTGTTATGTTACAGGTCTGTGTTAGTCACACCTCTACAGCTGCCATGTGCTAAGGCTGTTAGTGACAGTGGCAGCTGCTTCAGTATTATCAGTGTTCTTCTGTTGTTTTTAAAGGATTGTCTCAAGGGTTTGTTTTCCTCAAAGCCCCGTTCTTCTGTGCTAGTTACTTCAGCTGTTTTTAGTGGCTTGTCTGTAAACTAGATTAGGAACTCCTAAGCACTCTTGGCAAGCAGTGATGTGGAATTGTGCTTGAATAAAGAATTTTCCTCGTGTTTTCTATCTAGTCTAAAGCCAACAAAAAATGGAATCTGAGAATCAGTGTTAAAATGGAAGCATTTCCCTGCTCAGTTCCACATTGCCTGCCTCTCTGCCATTGGTGTTGTTGCCCTGTGGCAGTACTTGTTGCAGTAGTTTAGAAGTAAAGCACTGAAGTCTCTATGGTGGGCAATGGCAAATAAAAATGCATCACCATAAGCCAGTATGTGGGGCAATTTGAGTGAACCCGCACAAGAATTGAAACCATCAAAAATCAGACCTAGAAATTTTGGTTGGTTAAGTAGTGAGAGGAACTTGTTGCAGAGGAGGAACCTTAAGGACTCATTCTTCAGTTTGAAAATAACACAAAACATTTAAATCCAGGAGCTGTTGTCCATCTTGCACATGAGGAAAATAAGCAGCAACTGTTCCAGAGAGTTGGTGACCTTGTCTAATTAGACTACAATCATTTAAAAGAAACTGAATGACAGAGAAGAATGGACAGGATCACCAGCATGCAGCTGCTGGATTATTTGCCCCCAGCTTCCATTACTTTTATTTTGTTAGAGCCACTAAGAGTAACGTGAAGCATGTTGAACAGAGGAGAAATCTGGAAGTCTTGTCTCTGCAGATGTCCGCTGGTTTCAGCTCTGTGCTCCGGACAGTTGCTGTTATCTGCTGTTTGTTTTGTCCTTCAGGAGTTCACACCAGCATGAATGATTTCTCCTTTGCCATGCTATTTAGTAATGCTTTAAATAGTTACAGGAGAAACTGTGAGGCAGCTTGCCTTCCTTGTGTTACAGGGATCCAAGGAATAGTCGATGCCTATCGCCACGTCCTGCCTCAGATCCGACTCTATGGGCCAACCAACTTCTCTCCTATTATAAACCACGTGGCAGGGTTTGCTGCACACTCAGCACAACAGAGGACTGCTGCTGTGAGTCCACGTCCTTCCTTTGGATCTGCATCTGGGTGATGTTCTTGTTTTTCTGTTCATGGTGGGACAGAGCAGAATGGTGAAGCGATTTCTTCCTCCTTCCTCGAGGTCTCAAGTTTGGTCCTCTCTTTCCAACCTCCAGAGAGACTCCTCCTGCTCTCTTGGTTGATAAGTTGATAGGAGCCCTTACCAACACAGTATACAGGGGTGCTGTGCTGGCTTTCAGACCAACTGGACTTTGTCAGCAGCTGTGTTACCCTTACCTCTCTTGCCAGGCTCTGTCACCTGTAGAGAATGCATGCAGAATAAAGGGGCCCTGTATGTTTTATTCCAAGCAATTTTGCACTCAAGAATGTTCACAAAGAACTGAAAAATGTCAGAGGTTGGCTGTTTGTCCCACCACGTTTGCACAGAGAATCAGGATATTCAGAGGGCCGTGCTAACTAGCAGTTGGAGAGCTGGCAGATGAGCATGCTGTTGCAGAATGGCCATGCTTGCTTCTGCAGCTGCACTGCATGTCTTGGTTGTGTGCTTGCATGGCCGTGGCTGCTGTTAAAATTCAACTCCATCTCTAAAATTTAATTTGTTGTGCATAATGGCTTATTTCCTGATGTGTTTAGCTGATTCCATCTTGACTACCTAGTTGGGAGGAATTCTGATGTATGCTCTGATACTCACCTTCTGGGTTAGCTGTATCAGGATTTTGATTTTGACTTAAGTAGGAGATTATGGGGTTCTTGTTTTCTGGAAACACTCTTCTGACATTTCTGAGGGCACTGGTGGTTTTGGTTTGTTTTTTTTAGCTATCCAAACCCTTGGGGGAAACCTCTGTATTTTTATTCATATGTTGACTGTAACTGCTGCTTACAGATGAAGAGTTATTTAAGTAAAGGATATGTCAGCAATGAGTGCAATCACAGACTTGTATTAACTGGCTTTTGGAATTGGAAGTTTAATTTCCATTCTAAGTCTCTGATATATTTGTTTTCATCTTAAGTCTGTAGATAGTTGCTATAAAACAGTTCTTGCAGTTTTCATTGGGTGCTGAATCCTGGCCTCTGGGAAGGAAAGGGATTTTTAATGCTTCATCTTGCCAGTGTTTTGGCTTAGGGTATTTTTTTTTCTTCTAGAAAAGCTCCCGTGTCCTTTCCCTCCTGTGTCCCCTCAGGAGTATTTCTGTGTTGTGATATTTGCTGCTGCCATATGTTCAGATTTCTAATAGTTACCACTGATAATTAAAAACACAAAGTCACAGAATGGATTGGGTTTTAAGGGGCCTCAGAGCCCACCCAGCCCCAATCCCTGCTGTGGGCTGGTTGCCACTCACCAGGCCACTGCCCAGGGTCCCATCCAAAGACTTCTTGGAGTTAGAAATGTTTAATAATAAACTTGTTCCTTTTTTGAGAGGGTGGTGAATGAAGCAGTGTGTGCTGTGTGCACTTTGCTGACTTTGTAGTACTCTGTTCATTTGATAGTATTTTTGCTTTTTGGTGTAATTGTGCTTTATAGAGTGAATTTAAGCCTCTGTCTTTTATTGAACAGAGGAAATCTGCAGTGCACGGGGAGAGGTGGGATGCATACAGAAGAAGGAACTTTAATTTTTTTTGTTATTCACTGCACAATCTGCTTGCTTTTTTAGAGTCAGAAATTGCTCCTTTTGCCTCCAATTATGTGGGCTTTGGTGCTGAGTTCCCTAACTGAGTACTTTCTGATGTTTTTCAGCAATACTTTGTCTTGCTGATCATCACAGACGGAGAGATCACTGACCTGGACCAAACCAGGCAAGCAATCGTTAATGCCTCTAAGCTGCCGATGTCCATCATTATTGTTGGAGTTGGTGAAGCTGATTTCAAGGCAATGGAGTTTCTTGATGGGGACAACGGCGTCCTGAAGTCCCTAACAGGAGAGCCAGCTGCACGGGACATCGTTCAGTTTGTGCCTTTCCGACAGTTCAGAAATGTAAGTCGTGAACTGCAGGGGGTTCTGCTGCCCAGTAGACATGCAGTTATTACAGCAGCTGCAGTTAGCATGTGTCAGTGTAGGTATGGCTGCAGTTCCCAAACAGCTTGTTCCCAGGGAGAGCTGAGGCTGTGTTCAAATCTGTGTGCCTTCCACGGCACTCTTGCAGCTTTACCTAAAGCGTTTTCATTGTATCATTGATAACATCTCTTGGCTGTTACAGAGTTTGAGTAAAGAAGAAGCTTTCTCTCCTGGATGCAAACATTTAGGAAAGGAAATGAGATCATACTGTCTCAGTCTCTGTTGTTGAGTCCCATGAGTGCTTCCATGAGTGATTTAAGCTGAGATAAATCTTCCCTGCTACTGAAAACAGTCCTGTCATTCCCTAGCTCCTCCCTGCTTTTTCTTCTGGGACTTTTGTTCACGCATGCTGCTCACTGAAAGCCAAAATAAGACCTTGCCAGTGGCTGGGGCAGCTTCCCACCCAGATCCGGGCTGTATGGGAGCAGTGCAGGGTTGGGAACACGTGATTTTTCAGCAGCAGCACTCACCAAGGCTGACTGGAAGTGCTCCTGAGCCTGCAGTAAGAAGCTCTTGCACTCAGCCTCACATGGCTGGCAGGTGGGGTTTGCAGTCTGAATTCTTGAGGAATTCTTGCTGTGGTATTTCTTCTCCCTGCACTACCTCTGATTTATTCTTGCTGTTCCTTGCAGGCTCCCCGGGAAGCTCTTTCCCAGGTGGTTCTGGCTGAAGTGCCAAAGCAGCTGGTGTCATACTATAAACTGCAGGGCTGGCCACCTGTGAAACTGCCAGAAATAAAGAAGATATAGATTGCAGCCTCGCTCCGGCCATGTGCATCACTGGGGTGAGGAGAGCTGTCTGCTCTCACATTCTTCCCTGGGGCCTCAGGACTGTACCGGTCGCACTAACTCTTACCACTTGTACTCTGTATCTTTGGTATTTCCTGTTCCTAACTGGAAGAAATGTAAATATGAAAAAAGAAAACCCAAACCATTGGCAGTTCTTGTCAAAAAAAAACAACTTTGTTGGTTTTCCACCTTGCAATGGTGACACATCGTAGCACTGCTCATCACTTGGCATGACCCACCTGCTGCTTGGGCTCAGAGTGGGCACCTGCATGGGAATGCTCACACAGCACTGCTTCCAGTGTTAGGGCAAACATGGTTATTGTAAAGCTACTTGCCATGTATTTGTTCCTTGGTAGCTCTGTTCTTCTGTCTGCATCTGCCTTGCAAGTGGGGACAAGTGCTGGTTGGTACCTTATGGTAACTGTTGAGTCAGGGCCTGAACCACTGAGCACCTGAGGAAGGGATCTGATCAGCCCTGGGAGCACAGATGAAGGCAATTCAGCTGTGGGACCAGCAGGGGTGGAGCCTGGCTGCACCTCTTAGACCTCATTTGAGGGCTGACTGCCCCTGGGTTCCCCAGCAGGGAGATCCCTCCCTCATGCAGTTTTCCCCTGTGAGCCTAGATGTTCAGAGACAGGCGAGCACTTTCCTTTGTGCTTTGTAACACCTTTCCATCCTGCTGGTCCTTTTGTCACTGCATCTCCTGTATTGCCATTTCACTGTGTTCATCCTTCTGATTGCTACAGTGCCAAAGTCTCTTGGTTGGATGCCTGAGTCAATTCCTGCTGTGCCTTCATAAAGTCTCATGTATTTTTATATGTAGACGTTTATTTTTAAGTTTCTGCTACCATACTTAATAGTTGTTGTATTTTTATTACCACATTTTTCTATTAGCAGAATGCAATACTGTGATGGCCTTTTGCTCGGAGCCATTGTTGCAATTTAAGAGTGCTGCACTTTGCTTATTTGTGGGCGGGGGGTTAATGAGGTATGTGACTTCCAGAAGCCAGTAATTGGAAACGTTGGAATTCAGATGCTTTGACTGATTTCCCTGGAGTCCCAGTGGTATACAGTGAAGAAGTAACTGTCTGTGGAGCTGTGAGGAGGCAGTTCCTTGTCCTCAGAAGTGTGAAGCGTGTATTACTGCATGGGTTGGGGTTGTAAGTAGACAGCTGATAGCAAAGCGTGATGTCTTTGAGACCACAGGTATTTCATTTCAAAATAAAGGAACTTGCACTACAAGTTGTCATAGCTTTGAGTTGCATAAATAAATCATCTGCTTTGATTTACAGACATGTGTGACTTCTGTTTCCTTTCTGGGCTTTTTCTTTGTTTCAGCAATGTGGTTTATGGGAGATTTTTGCTACAGCTTAGGCTGAGCGCGAGCAACAGAGCAGAGCGAGGTGTCTGTCAGCATTAGTTTGTAACCTGTTAATCACTAAGACTGAATGTGTATCCTGCAGCCCTGTCTGCAGTGAGATGAGCTGTTTGTTCACTGCAATTAGGAAAGAATTTGTCCATTGTACTGGATACACCAGGAAGCTGTGAGAAGAAACTGGAAGATGCCCGGTGACTCAGCCTGTGCAACGGATTGGTTGCAAACCTGTGTGTAAGCAGACAGGGTGTAAGTCCACAAGCTCAGCTGGGCTTAATCGTGTCCCCAAATGCAGCTTGAGCTTGAAGGGTAGTGGATCTAGAATCACTAATGAACCAAAAAGGACCAGTTAGTTTTGCCTCCAAATGTTTTACCATGATTCTACAGGCGGCAGCAGCAGCTTCCCCCCTCTAGAGAAAGCTGGACTCCCACCTTACTCAGTCCATCACCTGGCCTGCAGTGCCCCGTCTTCTTGCACTTAAAAGAAACCAAGTGAGCCCTGTTGTTGGGTGGCTGTGTAAACAAAAAAGTGTTACAAGCGTGGAAGAAGGAGAGCTCAGAGCTGCAACTTGGCACAAGCTGTGCTGTGGCTGAGAGCATCCTCTACTCATGCTTTCTGCTGCTTACAAGCTGTATGCAGAGCTCTCTCTGATTCTGTTACATGTACAAACAAACCCGGGGCTGGTATGTGAGTGTGCTTTCCTTTCTTTAACAGTGTTCTTTGAAGAGGTTTACAGCAGTAAACAATTTTTTGTTTGGCTAAAGAAATACCAGCAGCATTGCGTAGTGCTTGGTTTCAATGAATGGTTTCTTTGGCAAGGTGAGTGTGTTAGCAGCAAAGTTCTGAGACAGCACAGCGCAGAGTGAGAAACACATTTTGCCTCCCCTTTTTAAATGTATGTCAGTTCCAAACGAGGAAAGTGGGTTTTCCTTGGTACCCAGCGGTCTTTGCTCGCTACGAAGGCAGCTTGGAAGCACGTTTCTCAGCTGGCTGAGGTGGCTGCAGATGCTGGACCTGATAGGGGTGACTTTCCCAGCCACCTGGGCGTAGCTGGAATGCAGGCTCGCCGCATGCCTGGTGCCTGAGCTGAGGGAGAGCTCTGCACGGCCTCCTGAGTAGGAAAGCTGTTCGTGCCACGCTGTGCCTGCGCTGCTCTTCCTCCTGGTGCAGGCTGTGCTGAGGCCGTGCTTGGTATTAATTCACCAAAGCCAAGGCACCGTCTTCAGACAAATGGAAACTGCAGCTGCTCTGGCGGAGAAGCCGCAGAAGCTCCCTGGGGAGCTGATGGTACCCGACCTGCTTAGACAAGCACCAAATTTGCCGACCAGCAGCGCGTTTTGTGGAACGTCTCACCATTCCCAGCCTGTGTTACAGCCCCGCCGCCCCCAGCCGCGGCTCCCCGCTCCCCGTTCCCAGCACTGCCGCGTGCCGCGAGCACCGCGCGGTGCCCGAGTTCTCCGTGACCGGGAGCCGAGCTCAGTCCTACGCTGGGGCGGGCGGCCTGCAGGCCCGCTGCGCGCCTCGAGCCAGCCCTGAGGCGTCGCCGTGGGGCACCGGGGGGGAGCGGGCTGCCGAACCGGCCGGGTGAGTCGGGGCTGACTGAGTCACAGCGGGCGGTGCGGCCCGGCCTGCCGTCGGCCCTCAGCTCCATGGCGCTCAGCGTCGGTGTCCGGCGGCTCTCCGACCTGCCGGGCCGCGGCGAGCGGCAGGTGCAGCTCAGCTTCCGAGGTGGGCAGCGAAGGCGGGAGGCTGGATGGGTGTGCTGTGCCCGGGCAGGGCGGAGCCTCACACCTCCCCTCTGCTTCCCCAGGCTTCACCCAGAAGACAAAGAAGATCCGCTGTGGCCCGGAGGCCGTCTTTGGGGAGGTGAGCGTGTAGCCGTTGCACGAGGACCGGGGCAGTGGGCACGGGATGGGGATGGGGATGGGGATGGGGATGCAGCACACCTCGGCTGGTGCCTGGTCAGACAGGTGGGCTGTGGGGACGGGACGCACATCTTGGGAACAACGGGAAGCCTCCCCGCCTTCTATCCATGCCCGGCTCCTGCAGTCCGTGCCTGGAGCCTGTGATGTGCGGCTACGAGGGCTGGTGGTGATGTCCTGTCTCCTATCTCCTGTCCAGAGTCTTCTGTTCCCTGGGGCTCCTTTGTGTCTGTAATGTGCAAGCAATTCATCTAATCCATCTTTTGGAGAGCCTGGCTGCTCGGACAGAAAATGAGCCCTCCCAAAATGCTGAGTCAATGGGTCAGTGCTTGTCCCTTCAGCAGCCAAGCTGTGGCTCTGTGATGCAGAGCTTGCTCCCTTCCCCATCCTTCCTCCATCCCCAGTTGCAGGGGCCGACCTGGCTTGCAGACCCTCCTTCCTCCTTCAGCACATGTTGCCATGCTCATGGGTTCGGTCACTTGCAGGCAGCCGTGCACGTGGAACGACCCTCACAGCTCTGCAGAGCTGGTTTTCTGCTGGTGCCATGTCCTGAGGGGTTCCCCAAGGGTGCAGGGTTTGGCAGGATTGCATTCCATTGCAGTCACCTGCTGTGTTTGTGACACAGCCTGGACGGACTTTGCCACTCCCTGTCCTCTCCCCCTATGAGCTGGGCTTTGGGAATGGCACGGTGTGGCATCCCTGTCAGCAGCAAATCACTGCATGTGGAGTGAAATCCCTGGGAAGTCCTTAGATGAAGGTTGGTGCACGCTGAGATAAAATGAAGGGCTGGAAAAATGGCACATCCTGACTGCTGCTGGCAGGAAATGCTTTGCGGATGTGGGAAGGAGAGGTGAGCTGGAGCTGCTGCCCTCCCAGCAGCAGCTCAGACTGAGTGGATTCAGGAGGCGAGGAAAGGAGGTCCTGCAGGAAAAGGTGTCTGTGGTCCATCAGACGGCCTCCCCATCAGGAGAGAGCTGCAAATGGCTGTAACACCTCTTTCCACACTGTCCTGTCCAAGGCTGGCTTTGCCATGTTCTCCAGGTGCCCACAGGGCCTGATATTTCTAATTAAGAGCTGAGCAGAAGCCACACATCTTCTAGAGAGCCTAACTCACAGCTTCCTACAGCCAGGGGAGCCTGCAGGGACCTGGGTGCTCTGGGCAGGGTCTGGTGGTGGTCTCTGTGCTACCTGGGCTCCATCGCAATGCTCAGTACTGGGCAAAAGTCAGCTCAGCTCCATCCAGCACCTGCACAGAGCCTCCTGGTGCTGCAGAGACAGAGGGGACCACTGTGCTCTGTTTGCTTGCAGCACTTCCGCTGGCCTCACTATGGGAAGCTTGGCGTGGGGGAGATGCTGGCTGTCAAAGTGTACAACTGCAGCAAAGTGTTCAGTAACAGGTAGGTCCTCCAGGTGTTGGCATGATGGGCTTCTTATGGGGGAGGGAAATGTTTCTTGGCAAGCTGGTGGGAGGAAGACATACAGGATATGAGTTATAGGACAGGGATGAAAGCTGGTTGTTCTGCTGCAGCAGCAGCACTTTGTATGTGGAGTGAAATAAGGGCAGTGGTTGTGCTGTGCCAGCATAGTGTAGAGATGTGCACAGGGTCTGGAGAAGGCCCCACAGGGGACAAAAGCGAAGCGTGGCCCCAGCAGCCAGCTGGGAACAGGAGAACTGAGCCCCATGTCCATGACAGTGGGGTTTAACCTTCAAAAACGCAGCAACTTACGTTGAGGTGATCAGGCAGAATAAAATGCTGCTAAGTGGCCCAGGCAGTGCTGTGAGCTCAGCAGTGCGTTAGGAAACCCAAGAGCAGAGGTGACAGATGGAGGAAGTGACGGTGGAGGGAGCAAAGGAGGGTGCTTGCAGGGGGGCTGCCAGCTCTGGTAACTTGTCAGAACTGAAGGAAAATCAACAGGGATGGCTTCATAGGGTGGGTGATGGTGCAAACAGTTTCAAAGCCATCACATCCCTGCCAGAGAGGGTGTGGAGGAAACAGATAAGTACAGCACATGCAGGACACTCAAAGCCAGAGCAAAAAATGTGAGTGAACTTCATGTCAGTGTTTACTGGGTGCTTTCCTTTATGGGAGAGGGATCAAAGGAGTTGTCTCTGGCTGAAATGTCAATAGGAACTGCTGTAGGACAAACTGATAAACAGCAAGTCACCAGGACGTGATGGTGCTGAGCAAAGAAGTCCAATGGGAGAAGCCCACACTGACACCTATCTGTGCACCTCTGCTGCTGGTGAGCAGAGCAGAGCTGGGTGGCAGAGGTCAGACTGCTTCACCCCACACTCAGCTGCCAGAGGGAGCTGGGGCACAAAACACCAGTGGGCTCTGGCCAGCAGTGACATGAGGTGGGATGGGAGCTGCAGAACTGCATGCATATTGCTACTGCTTGCAGGGAGCAGGGATTGGCCTTCCAGAGTGAGAAGCCCCTTTGGGCTGGGCGGGTTTTGGCCTGATTTGCTGCCAATATTGCTGTGGCCCTGTGCTTATTTCCTAATTGCTCTCTGCAGGCTGAGCACACAGGGATCAGTGCTTTTGAGTACCTGGATTGCCAGAAACCCCCATGCTCTCTTTCTCCAGAAACCCAGGGGCAGATGAGAGCACGCATGCTGTGTGTAAAGTTGCTAAAGCCAGTGATTTTGTTACAGGCTCCTTGGCACCCTCGTCCTCAGCCTCCAACACCTGATGACATCTGGGCGCCTGATTCTCCGGGAGGCCCTTGTGGACAGGAACCACAGCATCACCGGTGTAAGTCCTCCCCAGGCAGCCCAGGGATGGGCACTGCTCCGTCACTCATCTCAGTGGGTGAAAAGCCCAGAAACATTCGGAAATGCTTTGTGGGAAACCTCTACAGCTTCCCAGGTGGAAGTGGGTGCAGCTTGCGGCCGGGGCTGGGTGTCAGGCAGTGCTGCTGGCAGCCCTGCGAGGTGCTGCGCCCCTGTTTGTCCTTCCCACGGGCGCTCTGAGTCACCCTGCAGTGCTGTG